CTCTCTCTCTCTCTCTCTCTCTCTCTCTCTCTCTCTGTTGAGTCTGACCCGTCTCTCCCATAGTTGATGGTAGGCTGGGCAGCCCCTTGGTTGGGTGCCCGGTTCTTCCTTCCATGGTGGTGACAACCCTTGGTTCCAGCTGGGCAGGCTGCCAGGAGGCTGGGTGCTGCCCCAGCTCGGGAGGACCCAATCCAATTTTCTCTTGATCCCACCTGGGCTTCCAGTGCCATGGACGTTGTCCTTGCTGCCTTCTCTCACTGCCAGTGCACCTAGCCACCCTTCTGCCCCCCACTCTTGTGCTGTCCATGGGGCAAGGCAGCCCCTTCCCAGGCAGCACCAGCCATCTTGAGGGCTGCACAAGCCTGCTAAAGGCAGAAGAGACCAGGAGTCTGATCCTGCTTTTGGCAGAGCCTGCTCACTCCTATCTCCGCCGCAGCTGGGGATCCCCATGAGCTACCGCTGGGCTGGGCAGCCCCTGAGCTGCAGGGGAGGCCCGCTCCTTCTCTCCATGGCAGTGGTGCCCCTAGGCCCAGCAAGACAGTATACTAGCGAGCCAGGTGCTGCTTCAGCTTGGAGGTGCACGAGGCTGCTCAGGCTTCCAGCACCTCACGTACCATCCCCACTGCCTTCTTCCACCGCCAGTGCACCCAGCAACCCTCATGCCACCCCCGCCTCCGGCAAGACAGGGTTGACATACACACCGGATCTATGAAAATCCTAGCTTTCTTGAGTGGAACTCTGGGGCTGACTTATACACCATAAAATATGGTAATTAACAGTACAGTAAACATCTCAGAATTTATACATGCGCCCCTTTAGGGTGCACAAAACTAATAAACTCTGCAGCAAGGTAGGACTTGTAAAAGTAAGGTTTTTTTCTGCGCCGCAGTGTACTTGTAGATGCCAAGCTGGCTGGCTGGGGCACAAGGGTGCTTCAGCGCAGAGGCTGCCTGCCAGCTAGTCTTACATTGAAGCACTCTTATGCCCCAGCCAACTCCTCCACAGCACGCTGACCCTGATCAGAGCAGTCCTGGTTGAGAATCGCTGTCCTAGGGTACGTTCACTCTGCTGCAGTCAAGAAGAGTAAGTACAGTTCATGTGGACTCACCCATGCTAGTTTTTTAAACTAACCAGTTCAAGTACTGAGATCACTGACTATCCCAGGAGAGCATCATAGGCTGTACCGAGCGTTGGGCTGCTGCGATGATGTGGTTACCACAACCTAAAATTATGAGTTCAATAGAAGTTTTGGCATGTTGACAAATGTTGCAGTCCCACCTTTCAGTATGATGTTGATGTACCCCTGGTATGGTAATGAAAGCTGCTCTGTGTGATTGAAATGAGATTCACTTCTCTCCACTAGCTCCTTCAAGATGCATAGGTCAGGATTGTAAATTTAGAAGTAGCTGCCCTTTTTGCAGACACTGCGCTCCAGCAGTGCTCCAGGGCTTTGGACTGGAGTTGCTTCTATACAAAATACAAAAATTATACATCTCCCTTCTGTAAGGTACATGAGACACAGTGGTCCTTGTTTGATAGGTGAGGAAAACACAGTGCCGTTACATTCGGATGCAGACTTGTTTTTCTGTTAACTGTTTTTGTTGAAATTGACACTTCTGTGTTTTACTTCTAGGAAACTCTTGTAGATTGCTACAAACCGACAGAGGTAAAATCGCTTTTCTTAAACACCATTTTTCTGCTTTTCTAAAGGGGCCCTGTTCCATTATTGTCTTCATTAGGCCAATGGGCTTTACTTAAATGGATATTCTGGATAAAGTTTAATGTACACAATACTTGTAATGACTTACACCACTTTTTAATGTACTGTACAAGTATGTGCAAGTTTAGTAGGAAGCATGAGCCTTGCAACTTAACAAATACTTTAACTTCATGCAAAAAAGCTGAGTGCAGTAGTTGAAATACTAAAATGCACAGTAAAGACTTATTTGGATATATTTTTTTCAGTCATGTGCTGGGTCATTACAAACTCAGGAATTGCACAAATAGTATCTAAGATACTGCATTATGCAATGGATGTATAGTATCTTGGATTCCACTGTTTGGAAACTGCTTTGGGTGAGTTGTGCTTGACCAAGGAAACATGCTTCTTTTTCTTTTCTTTTCTTAAGGCTGTGTTTAGCATGGTTTTCCTTCTGGGGGAGCAGCACTGAAATGGCTGCAGTCTGAACTGCTTTCTGTAACACAAAGCACTGAGGCTTAAAGAAAGACTGTCAGGCACAACATTGGAATTGAAAGGATAGTGGTGTCAATCAGACCTCTGGTTTGGTACCTTTACATTTTTTTTATTATATCATGTAGTACTGGAGAGGTAATTGAGACCAATTGCTGCAGCCACTCAGATCTTTAGCAGTGTTGGAATATAGCTCAGAAAGGCCTCAATGGTTTATTCTTTGCTGTGGGAGAAATGGTTTTGCATAGGGTAGATATGACATATTGTTGGGATTCCTAGGGAGATTCCAGGCTAAAAGGCCAGGTTTTTCTGGTGTGTGTGGGTCAGTAGTAATGCTATATTATCAATGACCCATTCAACATTCTCCAGCAAAGGCCATTGAACTTCAATTGTTTTTTCATACCATTGGTCTAGATAATTGATGGGGTATCCAGAACTGAATAAAGTAGAGCTGGGGGGCCGGGGAGGGGAAGAGGGAAGGAATGGTGGGAGAAGGCAGATCAGGATGCTAATAGTTTAGATGGGCATTTGAGAATGGCTACTGATGTTTTCTTTAGATACTCTAATTGTAGTAAGAGGGTAAAGCAATAAAAGGCAAGATTGGAAACAGGTGTTTTAAAAGTCTTGTTAAAATTAATTTGGCGTTAACATTTCTTTTAAAATTAATGCTAACTTAAGAAGAATGAATACCATGAATATTCATTGCTAATGAATGTGAAGCAATTGCTAATGACTATGATTCCATATATAACACTTAACACCAGCATGATGTTAACTTCAGAAAGGAAATATACACAAGGTGTACTTCATTGAGAGGTGATCACTTTTAGAATGATGGCTTAAATGGAATTGCCTAATAGATTTGTCTCTGTGCAAATGGTGAAACTGAATGCAAAGGTCTCCAGGCACTTTGCACAGGAAATCAGATTTTAAAATTCGTACTTTACCCTGGTCGTTGACTCTTGTGCCAGTAGAGGAAAAGCAGTACCCTTACACTAAAGAGTATGAGTCTCCCATTTCTCGTTTGGTGACTTTTCCAACTGGCCTTGAGATTAAACTGACAGATCTCTGACTCCAGAGTCCTTTCTTCCTCTGCCAGTGCAGTAGTCTGTCCAGTTTGGAGTTGAGAGAATGTTGGGCCTGGGGAAGAGGAAGGAAAAATACTACTTACCTGTGATGGTCTGCACGATACAATCTGTATGTTTAGTTAGCAGTTGTTCACACTGAGTCATGAGAATGACTTGTATACATGGCATGTGACATTCCTTCTAAGGTAGCTGTAATTTAAATATGACAACTTCTATTTTTGCCAAGATTTTAGTCTCAGAAGATCTACAATCTAAAAAATGCTTGTGATCTGGAGTTCTACTGGGGCAGGTAGTAGTAATAAAGCTGCAGTTTGACAGCATATAAAAGGGAAATCAATACAGGCAGGAAGTTCAGTAACTTAAAACTAAGCTATATAGAGAGAGGACTTTTGGAGATGGGGCATTTTAAGTCAGTTTTACATAGTTTCCCCAACTCAAAGAGACTGAAGGTTAAAGAGACTGAAAAGTTGTTTTTGTGCATTGTGGCTTTTTCCACCAGAAAAAAATCAGAATTATCCAGGTCACTTGGTAGGTGGCAGGTATTAAGAATATCTGTTCTCAGCCTCTGTAATAAATTGTCTAAAAATAGCAATAGGCATTAATTTGAGGACGGTCATAAAGCTGGTCTTCCTTCAGAGTAAGATCTCTAGACTCTTAAACATGCCCCAGTGATCCTGAAAATCTAGGTTTTATAATACCACAGTTGCTGCTGCTGTTCTTTCATTTAACTCAATAAGATTAAAGACTGGCATTGCAATAAAATGTCAGTTCCTTATGAATGTCATTATTTAAGTAAAGATATATCAGTTATTGAGTATCCTAAAATTATTTGATTTGGAAATTGTTTACAACTGTGCGTTAAAGTGTGGCTTTCACATACAATTAAAAGACCCAAGAGTCTTCTTTATAGTCAGTGTAACTTAATGAATAGAAATGTAATTTAACTGAGTTATCCCCTAATTAACAAAATAAAACTGAAAAACGACATCTTTATCCTTAGCAGCGTCTTGCCAGCAGCCCAAAATAGTTTCTGGGCATGTGATGCAAATTGTCCGTGTTTCAGAAAAAGCACGTTTAGAAGCGAGCATAAGTAGTAACAGTATAAATACAGAGTTCTTCTTCCTCATCGTGGTTAGCTTATGCTTGCTGAAGATAATTTCAAACAGTCCTTGGAGAGGCTTGAGAAGAAAGTACAAGCTTAAAGGAAAGGGAGAAAACCTCAAGTTTGACATGCATTCTTAATTTCTTAAACTTAGCCCTGATATTTTAATTGCAATAGCAAACCACAGAAAATATAAGCATTGCCATGTTTTTAGATAGCTAGAGAAACTATGAGGGCTTGTGTTTACATTTTCCTGAAAAATAACTGACACAGAGAAGCAAAGGATGCATTTCTTTCAGTATGCAAGAATCTGCATAACAGGTTTCATGTTCCAGTTAACTTTTAGCACAAACATACTTTGCAGAAACTCCAAAGTTGCTGTTTTTGCAAGTGTTTACAGAATGATTTGTTTTTCCCTAGCTTGTAGATGAACTATGGCCTTCAGCACTAGCTGGGAATGAACAGCCAAAACCTAATATTTCTTCCTCTGTAAAATGGGGGTGCTGACTTATGTTACGGTGTCATAAGAGCCCTGTTGTGGTGATAGATAAAGTCTAAGCAGAGTCCCCTAACAAGAAGGATAGTAATGCTTCACTGTTCTGCTGAAAACTGCAGAGTAATTCCTAACTAACTGATGTGGACCAAAAAAAAAAAAGGTGAGGCTTTAGGATGGGCCAGTAGCATAACTATAGATGAGCAAACAGGGTACAGGCCTCAGGATTGGGAGCCTCACTTCTCCTCACCCTGCACTAGACCCAGCAGCCAAGTGTGAGATGAGTGGAGGGAGCAGAACAGCAGCCTCTCAGAGGTTCACTGCTAGGGGGAAGCTGCGGCTGTGGTGGGAGGTGTCAGAGACTGTTAAGCTTCTTGTCTCTATTCAAGCTACTATTTTTCAGCTTTTAAGTTGCCACAGAATTATCGATTCCGGGTTAACCCTTGCAGCAGTGGCTTGCCCAGTAGCAGACTATATCATTTATGCCTGTGGGATAGGCTCTGTATTAATACTTCCACTGCTGCTAGCACTAGAGCTACTGCAGCAATTGTCAGTAATGGTAGATATGTTGTAAACTGCTGTGGTAGACAAGGCCAGCTTAGCTAAAAATTCAAGTAACATGTTTGCTGGCTCTGAAAGTTGTGCTTATGCTATATATATCTGATTTAGTTACTCTACAAGGTACACATCTTCCCTGCCTTCTAAAGGATGTGGTTAATAAACGTAAAGAAGAGCTAAAAAAGATGTGCAAAAGTTTTGAATTTTGACAGCAACAAGAATTGAGGGGAGGTGTCCTCTTCTCTTTCTTTTCCTTTTTGAAATGTAAGGCTGAAAGGGACCTACAGAAGCCACTTAGTTGGTCTCCCTGCTCTGAGGTGGCATTACTTATAAGTAAATGGTCTTGTTACCTTTTTATTTCCATTTGTCTTGGAAAACTAAACCACATTTTGGTAATTCAATACCTACCCCACTCTGAGATTTTGAAAATTAATGGATGTTTTAACCAAGTTTACAAATACCCTTATGGTAAATACTTTTATGATAAAAGTTACTGTGAATTTGCACTGCAGCATTTTGGCAGGATTTTGGGTACCTTAGCTTTTGGGTTTCTCAGTGGGTGGAGTATTGTGCTATTTTGAGTAGAGCTGTGTGCAGATATTTCTGTTTAAAAAAATCTTTTCCATGTTCAATAACTAACTAAAGGCAATTATAGCCTTGTAATACAGTTTTTAGACCATGTAGCCACATGGTTGGTTTAAATATCTTCACAGAGTGCCTCTATAAAGATGTGGCTAGGAAGCTTAATTTTAAACTGACTGAGCCTGTAAACTCTTGAAGGTTCATATATATTAGTTGGGACTCTGGAATCTTAACCACCAGTAATAATCAGAATAGTCTTCCAATTCTTTCATCTGTCCACTATATTCATAAGATTGTGAATTTATTTCCTTAGTTTTCTACTTAATCTTGATTAGTAGAATATATGACTTAAACATGCAGTGATGTACTCAAATATACAGGAAGAGTTTGTTAATAGTATGAAGTGAGAACATTGCCTGACACACGTTGTTTTGCCAGCATTTACCTTGGGGAGGTATCAAATTCACCTGGCCCTGCGGGCCAGATGAGGGGCACTGGGTTGGTGTGCAGGCCAGATTGGGCCCAGAGACTGACCCCAAGTACCAGATCCAAACCAAGGGTTAATCCAGAGTGCAAGCACTGCATGGAGTGCACACCCTGGACCAGCTTCATAAGCTACTTGCAGTGCGTGCATGCCAGCTCCAGCACCGCA